TGAGCTACTGTCCAGAGTGCATGAAATGAAGTGCCTAAACTCATGATATAATATAAAGGTTCAGACTAAAAATTCAGCTTATTTTTTAATATTTAGCTGATCTGATACTTTGTGAGAAATGTGCAAATATCAAACCCCAAGAGCCCCTGAACTCGACTCTAGATGACACCTTTGGACTGGACCTCATTATAGTTCTCAGCGGGTTCGACACAGGCTGGAAATTCTTTAGACTTAAGGTGTTTTAATTCTGTGGTTTATTATCATTTTGGAATTTTTGACCTGCAGTTTGTCTGTTGGACGTTTCTGAAAATTGAATTCTTTGATTTTTCAGCTGCAAATCCTTGAAGTTAGTGAAGCGATGGCAGATAAGAGCATCGCCATAGATGAAAGCATGTCGACCATAAATCGGAAAGACAATCAGATCACACTTCTGACACAAGAGAAGGAGGAGCTTGCTCGAGAAAACCAGGTACACACAATAACACTGGCTCTACTCGGTAGATGTTCAGACTCAGAATCACTTTTTTTAAAAAAAATGTTGACACCTCAACTGTTTATTTTGCCAGACTCTCAAAGAAACCATTCAGGACCTGCGCAGACTTTACACAGAGCCCCCTACGACTCCTGCAGAACCTTCGTACTTGCAGCCAGATGATGAGGCACTACCACCTGCTTCAACCCACATTTATGAAACCATAGGTGGGAAATGGTCTCACACATGTACTGTCTAACTAACTTTAGTATATTTAGCTATTTACACAAACTTTTACCTTGATCTTACAGCCCCTCTAAGTACTGAGGGGCGACTTGGAGTGTGGTTCTTCCCGTTAATTGTCGAGCATTTCCAAGCCCTCAAAACTTCATGTGTACAGGACATACCTGCATAAAATCATGAAACTCTGTTAAGAACTGCAACTGAAACAAACTGCACTTATTTCATGCCTGTAATGTGCTTTCATTTAAAGATTCGTATCACTGTGTAGGTGAAAAATTCTCCTTTTATGGCGCTCACTGCTTTTCTTCTGTCTCATTGCAGGACCAGAGGACGAGGAGGTGAGTCAAATACTTTCCTTTTTATTTAAGTTTTTATATTTAATTCAGTCCAGCTTCACACCTGCAGTGGTTTTAGTTTAGGATTTATTTTTTCCTGATAGCCTTGGTGCAGATATCTTAACTAAAGCTGCCACAGAGTGACTCCCGTGGCATCTCTCCCCCCCTCCAAAACACATTAATGAGAAAAGCGCCCCTCCCTCGAGTGACTCGGCTGTTTGGGGTTTATTTTTGAAGCGGATTTAAAACTTAATCCGCTCGCTATTCCATTACGACCCCTGATGTGCTGCCGTCTCCATTTCAGTCGCTGGTGTGTCGTCACTGCCGCGAGAGCTTCCCCGGCATCACCCAGGACGAACTGGATCAGCACGAGCAGTGTCACCGCGTCTGCCCCTTCTGCACGATGATCTGCGACGACATGGACCAGGCCACGTTTGAAGATCACGTCTACAGCCATTAGGAGACAGCGGCAGCAGCGTGGTTTGAATAAGTCTTAAGAGATGGGTGGTTATACATTTAAAACTTCTTGGCTTCAACATGTTGGCCTGCAGACACTGGAAACCTGCCTGTGTTACATAATCCTTTGCGGCCTATGTTATTGCATTTAAATATAAAAACGTAAAAGTAGACGGCACAACTTCTCTGCTTACATTTTGGCACATGTGCGCACACAGATATTTAGCTCTGCTGCTGGTATAAACACACGAAGTGTCAAACAAGTCAAACTAGACTACAGTCAAACGCCTCATTAAAACCTACTTAGAACATGCAAACTTCTGAATGCACGCTGAAAAATTCACACACACACGTTATAAAGACACACCCGTGGTGGTTTCACATGAATTTAAAGGCTGGTTAGTGAATAAATCCTAAACATTATGAATATGGGAGATATTTAGGCACATAAACACTGATGTTGAACCCCTGCCACATGCAAAACATGTAATGTTTCGCACCACAAATTTGAGTCTACTTCTCCTCCCACTTTTCTTAAGTTTTTCCACAGGCACTGGTTTGGCAAAGAAATTGGAAAGTTGTGTGGAAATTCAAGTTTCTTAATATTATAGGCTTTAACTGTATTGTAACTGTCCTCTAATCAGTAATCATAATGTGATGCTTCACTGCTGCAGATAGCCTGTCTCATTGGTGGTCACCCTAACATTGTGCGATCAGAGTATGTTGTTTTTGTTCTCCTAAGTTTCTGAAATCAGGAAAGATTATCAGTCATGTATAACGGAAGAAGTAGAGTTAAGATAAAGAATCCACTCTGTCATATTTGCTGAAGAGATGATAAAACCTTAATTTACCTGATCTGAACATCATCGGGGAGGATTTAAAAAAACAAAACAAAAGCGTTTTTTCTTTCCAGCACGAGCAGGATGTGATATAATCTTTAAAAAAAATGACCCCACTAGCAGTTTAAGATCCCATCTTAGTAGTCTTTAGTTTCTCACATTGAAAGTCGGTTTTAAAGTTTTTACTTTTGAATATAGCCATCAGAAAAATGTGTGATTTTATTAAATGATCCTTGGAGTTGATGAATAGAGCATTTTAGGTTAATAACAAAACTTTATGAAATATTAAATATATTATCCAGAGTTATTCATTTGTCTTTGCACTTATCTGTAAGAGGAAATTATGATCAGTTATAACCAAGTCATTTATTTAACCAGGTTTCTGATGATTTGAACATGTAAACTGGTAACAAGTTTGAGTCAAGTCATAAATGTAAGTGCATTTTATTGCAGAATAATAAAAAATGTGCAACAAAACAGAGAATATCTCGTTTATACATTTGGAAGAACTATCTTCTAATCACCCAAAAACCTTGATAGTATAAGCCGAATTCTTCTGCCGTGTGCTGGAGCTCCCTTTCACTGACTCTGCGGTAATATTTGTGCACTCTTTGGAAAGTTTCCCCTCCACATGTCCAAAAACTGATCTCAGAGGGAGTCCATGCTGCACGCCAGCTCCAGAGACCCAGCCAACTCCGTCACACGAGCCACCTTCTTCCCACAGGGCACATTTTGTTTACCAACAAGCCTCAAGCTGCAGGTCCGGGGCCTCCCACAGCTTAAGGTGTCATCTGATTGGCCTCCTCCGGTGTGACGTCACGGGAAGTCAGCTCAGAGAAGAGCGCTGGCAGCCAGTACTGTGACTCTCCAGCTGCCTGAGAGTCCAGCCAAGCCAGGCCTTCCTTCAGCAGGTGATCCTGGGAAAAGGACAGAGGAGAGTGAAACAGTTATTTTTAGGCCCCAAATAAAAGAAAACAGCGGATCAGTTTGAAGTACCGCAGGATTAAAGGAAGATGAAGAAACAGCCAATGGCCAGGCTGCGCCCTGCTCCTCACAGACCTCGACCTTGATATATAATCTCCATCCTGGCTGCTTTCACAGTTAAAGTGAGCGGTGTACTCACCAGCACGTGACACGCTCGCTCCTTCTCCCATTTTAGACTGTCCTTGATCTCACTCACTGTGACGTATCCCTTTTTCTGCAAACAAAAAGAAGACTGACATTAGAGCACCAGAAACAGCCAGGATCTCACCTTTCAGAATAAAAGCCCTTATCTCAGACAGAAAATCCTCAACATTGTCCTTTTACCTCTTCCTGCTGTGATCCTTCAATACATGGTGGCAATAAAATAAAATTCAGGCTGGAGGTTTATTTTACTGCATCACATTGGCAGACTGCCTTCATGGAAATAAAAATGGGACTATGCAACAAAGAGTTTGTCCAAAAGAATTATGTAATGGCATGAAAGTTACACAACCAAAATGTAATAAAGACCTCAGGATCGAGGATAAAGTACAAGAAGTCCTTAGGATGGTGTAAAAACAAGCACTTGATTATTTTTCAAGGCTGCTGATTGCTTTATGCTGAACTCTGGCTTCGTCTTACCTCGGCCAGCTGAAGAACCACAGTGTGGTCCATGTTGAGCTCAGCCGGGACTGACTGGACCAAGTAAGAACCACCAACGGGAATCATCCCAAACCCATTCCCCATCACCTTCAGTTTCTTTATGGCTCTCACCAAGTCGTCCCTAGGAAGCACATATTCAGCCACGTGATTTAAAGTTGATGTCCAGGCATTAAATAATCCAAAAATAAACATCTTTAAGGCATTTTATGTCAATCAGTAGCACATGTTTCTATACTACACAACACGTTCGGTTGGTTACACTTACTGGCTAACCTCCTGAGCGTATTTACCGCGTCCTTTCAGTACTCTCTGATGGAGCTCATCCAGAGTAATCAGCCCTGAAAGAAAACACACACATTGGGACTTGATTTAGTGATTTCAGAGCTGGGTTATAATTACCGGATTCAGTTCATGATTTGATTTTCTGCAATTCACTGTTACCTCTGATGTCTAATAGGGATGCAACGAAATTACAATTTTTTCAAACCAATACTTGGATCTGAGTACTTGCCGATACAGAGTACAAAAAAACAATACTTCTACCACACACACACACACAAATACAATTAATTGGAAGACAGGTTTTATTATATTCCCTGTCGATAAAAAATAAAATCTTAATAAAAATGACCACAAAAAAATTTCAAGTGAAAAATAAGCACTTCTGTTAAATTATTGCAGTCTCCACATTGTAATTTTACAAAATATCACTGAACTATTGGCGCTGTCTCGAGCTTTCAGAATAATAAATAAACACTTCTGTTTGGAATAAAATAAACTTTTAAATTATTGCAGAGTGTCCATATTGTAAACAAACAAACAAAATAATTATTATTCAATAAATAATACATAAAATAATAATTGGCTCCCTAGTGGCCAATCTAAAAAACTACAACAGAAATGACCAGTCACCCTCTGATTAATGAAATAAGTTGGTATCGGTTAACTTTTACAAGTATGAGTACACACACATTTTACAGTATCGGTATCGGTGCATCCCTAATGTCTAAGATATTAATGCCAGCAGACTGCTGCAGGTAAATAAAGATGCAGGTTACTGTTGAATAGGAAGGGTCCTAACTGAGTGACCCAGAAGTATCTGCAGCTGTAATAAGAATCCTCTAAATACTAGGAAAAGGTGCTTCTGTGTTTCTTATTTACCGCATTTAGCAGAGGATACACTGAACTAGCCTTTATGAAAGCAGGACCAACATAATTAAGGAGTCTTGTGTAAGTGCAGTCTGATTCTCTCAGTCCTTAAAAGTTCTCTTTCAGATATTTCCTTGACCTTATGTTTTCTACTGAGGCTGAGAAAAACTGTTTTTTGGGGGGGACTATTCACAGCCACTCTGCATACAAACCTCCGTTTCTATGTTTCAGGGCAAGGCACACTTCAATGATCTGCACACCGAGTTCATAGTAGAAGTCACCAACTCCAAGCATCTCAGACCAAAACCCTTTACCAGCTGTGGAAAACAAAAAATAAAAACAGCACAGAAAAGGTTACATCACTTGGATAAGCAGAAAAAAACAGACGTGAAAAAGCCCAAAAACTTTAACTCCAGCTGTGATCATTTCCTTCTTTGCGATCAGTTTACTTGTCGAAGTTGATTCGTCACTAACATATTTACGTTTACAACCAGGCAGCCACTGCTCCAAGTTTTTTCACCGCAGGTTGATATATGAAAATTTCGACTTACTAACTCAAACATGTGAAAAAATAACCTTATTACATTAAAATTTTGAGATAATAACCAAAACTTCTGACTTATGGATGCCAAAAATTTTTTTTGTCTCAGTGGCAGAAACAGGCTGTGAGAGAAGTGTGTGGGGATTGTCTACAAAGTGAAACACCTCAAATTAAAAAAACATAAAGGATACATGTTTGCTAATAACTTTGCTCTCATACAGCAGGATCTTTTTCCAAATTAAACTTGTAAAGTGAATTAATTTGGGTCTATGTAGAAAAAGAACAAAATTTTCCAAGTTTTGTATCGTGAACTTCTCTTTTTTTTTCATTCACATTTACAACTTTGATCTCTAAAGTTCTGACCATATTCTCTGAATGGATCCCCATCCAGTCCCTTATTTATTTATTTTTTAATGCCACTAATATGCCAAAACATATGCTGATTATATCCCAAATCATTCTCACATGCAAGCGGGTCAACGCCGATGGTGGCACACATTTCCTGAAACTGGACCCTGAACTGTGGGTTCTTGCGGATCTCTTGTTTATGTTTGCTGGCAAATTCTTCCAGGTGGGTCTTGAACGTTTCCAGCTGCTTGGACATCTAGCAAAAAAGGGAAAAAAATGTTAAGTTGTAAAACTGGGGCTTCAATTGGGACTTATTTTCATAATTTATTGGTACTGATAGCAAATTTCATATTCAAAATATATTTTAGTCTGTGAAACATTCAAAAATAGCTCACCACAAGGTCACAGAATCTGAACCAACTACAATACCATCTGATTTTAATGAAACAAAACCTCTAAAAGAAAAACATTCAATTAAAAAAGACATAACTTTTCAATGGAAAGAATAGAAACTATTTAGTATTATTATTATATATGTTTTGATTCATCAAGCAAAAGGCGACAATCTAGAATAAACTAAGTGCATTTATTGCTATTTGAGGCCACCAATTTGCATTCAAGGAGTGTGTCAGTAAGCCAGTAAGATAAATAAAAATACTAAATTTAACACAAGAGTGAAAACAAATAATCACACAATTCATGGTTTAATTTACGGACAATGGTTTCACTTCGCGGACAAAACTCACAGAAACTCACCTGCACTATCTGATCCTCAGCCAGAACAGTTCCTCTTTCTTTGTATTTGGCCTTAACAAACAAAAAAAGTACAAGTGAGATAAGAAAAATGTTGCTCCAGTTTCTACACTCATCATTGGCAGGCGGTTTTAATGTGTGTAAATACGGGTTAACTGCTTACAAGTGCATTTAAATAAAGGTTGACATTATTTAGAGATATTTATGATATCTTTGCCCACATTAACCTGCATATTACAAACTAATTCCTGGTATCATCATTACTGAATGATGAAGCAGCAGTAAATGGCTTTTGCAGGTGTATTCTGCTAAAATTAAACCACGGCGATAAAAAAAAAAAATATCTGCGGCTCACGTTGGCTTTTAAATACCTCCTGCCAGCTGGAATAAAGATAATACACATATGGCTAATGTGAGGCTCTAACGCCTCTTGAATCACCGCTTTGAGTTACAGCGTTACCTCAGCCAGCTTCTTTTTGGCGATCGCCCCGGCGCCGACGCCTCTCCGCATTTTGGTGATGTCTGTCCCAAACTGTAAGAGGAAGGTTAAAACTCGAAACTACGAGGTTATGGCACAAAAATGACTCCTCTGCACAATTTTAAGGTAAAAATCTTGACCTAAGCTAAACTAATCCTAATTTAACGCATTGTCGCTCATGAATTCTTCCTGATTTCACCTCAAAGAACAAATCTAGCTCTTACATCACCGATCTGTAACTCCTGTCGATTTTAACGGCTGATAAGTGAAGTTTTCTGGGGGTTTTCTGGGATGTTTCACGCTAAATGATTGCAACTGCTTCCATTTTGTTTACAAGGAAGTAAACAGCTGAACAGTGTACTGAACACTGCCCCCTGGTGTTGGGGAGAATATAGCAGCTTGTTGCCGTTAATCCGTTTAAAGTTATTATGCATATATTATCAAAACTATCCTCATCAGCAAATAATAATTGCTTCTTTGCATCATGAGATCCCTTTATATTATATTTTTGAAGAATTAATTTTATTTATGAGAAATTCTTATAAATTAAGAATTTCTGGCTGTTACAGCAGACAAAACCTTAAAAATAGCATTAGAAAAATTAAAGGAGCAGCTATATAGACATACATCTGAACAACACAAAACACAAAATTAAAAATAAGCTTAAATAACAAAATAAAATAAAAAATAAGGAGCCTAAATAAGTAAAACTCTAAAAGCAATACAATATAATGATATGTAGAAAGAATATACCGTACAGATTACCAGCTTTATTTCAAGTTCACACACACATATTTATTTTTAATGATGTTTTAATGAACATAGAAAATAAAATATATGACATTTAATAAAACAGAAAAAATATAATTTATTGAATAACGTGGGGAAAAAAAACAATCAGCAGGTGTTAGGTGACAGGTTTTTCAGTGTAAAGAGTTACAGCGTGATATCAGTAGTGTGTTGATTGATTTAGGACTATAATTATTTTTGAAATGGAGCAACAGTTATCAGGGTGTCATAGTTATAGTATCTCCAGCATTTCAGGTTCAAAGACTCTGAGAAGTACAATTCAGTGATTTTTAGATAATAACTTTATTCATTTATGTGAAGACTGCGTTACACAAATGGAGCTTTTGCACGGGACAAATATTCACAGTTTTACACTAGTAGACCTACAGATTGTCCATCACAGAGTTAAAGATGAAGAAGAGTTGAGATGATGTCTCCACAGTGCCACTGCATCCTTCTGGATCCTCACAGCCTGAGAACAGTGTGACAGAATATTTATATTAAACACAGCAAAGTAAATTGATTTTGATTTTATTTTTAATTAATTCATTGTTCTGTCACAAAATAGAGAGAAAAAGCTGCTTCAAATGTCCCAGAGCCCTGTGTCCTCATGAAGACCCGAGGTTCTGGGACATTGAGCCTTGTTATGTTTATTATAGAATTATGCTTATTTCTAACCAGATATTCAAATTGTCTGTGCCACATCATCATTTGAAAATAGTACAGGAAGTGCCTCTGCACATGAATAAGTTTAAGCACACCTAAATGTTTCTCCCCTGCTTCTCCTGCAGGCTGAGCTTCAGCAAGTCGTTGTACTGATGTTCCTCTAAATCCTTCCCAGCATCAGCGGGCCTGAGAGAACAGAAAATACCTTTCAATCAAATAAATCTGTTCTTTTGTTCTGCTTTTAATCTAGTGCTTCATTCACTGACTCACTTGGTTTTCTTCTGCCTTTGGCTGAGCAGGAACTTGATAAAGTTTTTCTGCACCATTGAATCCATGATTTTGCTGAATTCGCTGGCGATGGTAGACTCAGCGTACCTCTTCCTCAGGTTCTGCTCGTCTTCACTGAGAGGCAACAAAGACACAAATATAAAAATCGTATTATTTCTTTGACCCTCTTATCCACTCTCCTCACACTCAATAGTAGTCAGATCCTGTCATATCTTAAAGACTTAATAGTATCTTATTATTAGTGCTTTGTGATACTGGAAATGTTGGTATCAAACCGATACCGAGTAAATACAGTGTCAGTGTTGCTGATACCAGTAACACCTTTCAGCTTTTCATGTACTTTGAAGCTGTTTTTGTTTTTAGAGACCTGTAAATCTGCCTGTCTCTAAATCCCTTTGGGTCAACTTCTGTTGTTTAACTGTGCTGTAGGCTATAAATAAAATAGACGCGACGGTGTCGATCCTCTCGTGCTGGTATCAGTCCAATACCAGTACTAGCACTGGTATGATCGATATTTGGATCCATCTGCCCACCTCTACTTATAATCCAAACAGAGCTCTTCCCTATATATATATACAACCATTTGTGCTTAGTAGAAACATATTTATTTTTCTAATATATCTGCAATTCACTTCCTGATCCTTCTGCTGCTCAAACAAGTGAATTTCCCCAGTTTGGGATACACATTCTTCTTCCCCGCTGTCACCAAGCTCTGCTCACAGGGAATCACCTGCTTTTTCTCTAATATTGCAGGATCTTTGTCTCACACTATTTGGCCCCTCAAGGTGACTTTTGTCATTGTTATTTTTTTGGTTATTTGTTCAACCTTTTGATTGCTAAAGTTAAAGAAAATGATGAAAAGATTTCCAGACGTGTAATTCTATCTGACCAAGAGTCAAATCCTCACATCCAAAAAGCAGAGGATTTTCCTTTTTGTACATTTGCTTAATAAGCGGCTCAACTAATCATAAAAATTGTATTTTTAACCAATTAGCCATTTAACTTGTCTACATCAGCCACATTATTACAGTGTACTGTATTATAGCAGCATAATATGGACCCTGATAGCTTCTTTGTCATATGATTGTTAGGTTTTCTCCGTTTTTCTTGTATTATTGTGAGGTTTTTACCTTACAATACAAAGCACCTTGAGGAAACTGTTCGTGTGATTTCGTACTATATAAATAAATCTGAACTGAATTTGATTGAATTATCAAAGATATAATAAAATGTGGTATAAAGTACTTATTATTATGTATTTAAGGAGTCACGCTATTATAAATTGTGTTGACATACTGGGGGAAAATAGTCAGATAAGCACACGGAGAAAAGTTTGGAAGCCATTTAAATAATTATATTCAATTCAAGCTCATTATGCAGATAAAGGGACTTCCTGCTGCACTGAGGCAAGGTTTCCAATCTTTTGTGATTGAAGTACCCCCCACAGTAGCCCATTTCTACCCCACACTGTCACGTTCAGACTGTATTCATTAAAATGTTTAACCCACAAGTCAATTAAAAGTATAAATTCCAATTTAAGATGTTTTTTTATCAGAATATTTTCTAACATTTAAGATTTGTCTTCACAGCTGTGACCTGCCATGCACTATATTGTGATAAATAATCCCTCACTATAAGCCTTTACATTTATTTTCCTCCGCAAACACAAACATATATGAATATTTTTACAATTTTACAATCATATCTTTTTTGCTTTTATTAATCCCAACTTTTACATTTAAAGTCAAGCTAAATATGAGTTTTGCTGTATCTGAATGTTCAGATACAGCAAAACTGTAGACTGTACACAGTCTACAGTTCACCCCAAAGTTTAATTTATAAGCCTTCAATGTTATAAAATTCTCTAAAATTAAATATATAAAGTAAATGCAAGTAAAAAAGTTTTAAAATCATTGGAAGTTTGAGCAGCCTTGTCTTAAAAATGTTGCCGTTAAATCCAATTATCACTCAGTAGGTTCAGAGGAAACAAGCATGTAAAGCATACAGTGAGACTTACGCCATCTCTTCTGGTTTTGCATGCAGGGCTCCCAGCAGGCAGATGATCAGAAGTTTGAACAACAAAGCCTTCATGATGACCTGAAAGCACAAACAGAGATTGTTGGAGAAAGGTCCACACTTAGTTCAACAACTTTAAGCAACCTGGAGGAAAGGTGAGCATATTCTGCAGCTCAAACCAAGTGTGTGAGCAGTTACATGAAATCCATTCAAGTATATTTTCTCACCTTTGAATAAAACGTCTTTAAAGCAGGCAGAGGGGAAAAATTTCCAGAGAAATTTGTAGACTGCTTACGACGATGTGTTGCTTTCAGAAAATGGGCTTTTATATCGTTTCCACTGAGATAATATGAGCCAAAGCTAGAAAAACAGTTTAGTTCCAACACATTAAGTCATTAATGAAACACATACACACACAGGTGACTACTGATAAAGAGGGACGTAATAAACTTTAAATGGGAACATGCGTGGGCCATTAAACTAATGAAAAAGTGACAATGTGAAAATTAAAGCATGTTGAAAATACGGTGAAGATGTTTGACTGATGCTTATCGTAAAATGAGAAACCTCTGCTCTATGACACTTTCTCCAGAGTAATGACACCTACTGCTCCTCTCACAAAACAGCTTAGCCTCAGCTACTGCAACCCTCACACAGTGACACTGAAATTATAGCTTAAAGAAGACCCATTACTATCATATATAGGGTGGATGCTTTCAAATATTAAGATAGTTAATTCAGTTTCATTTAAATTTTGTTTCTATAATGCCAAATCACAAGAACAGTTGCCTCGAGGCACTTAATATTGTAAGGTACAGATGCTACAATAATACAGAGAAAACAGAAAAAAAACACAAAAATCAGATGATTTCCTGTGAGCAAGCACTTTGGCAACAGTGGGAAGGAAAAACTCCTCTTTAACAGGAAGAAACCTCCAGTAGAACAAGGCTCAGGAAAGGGGCACCCAACAAGTGCGACCGGTTAGGGGTGAGAGGAGGAAGACAGGACAAAGAAACGCTGTGGAAGAGAGCCAGAGATTAATAATAACTAATGCAGAGTGGTGTAAAAGCTGAATTGTGTAGGCAATCATGTGATCATGTGGGTCAAAAACTCAGGCTTCAGAGTACTCTGAAAGCTCTGTTTTAGACATTTTTTCTACTCTTTGCTCTGTATGATGTCCGTTTGCAAAAAGCAGCCTATCTGCTGAAAGGAATTTCTTATGTATTTTATATATTTTAACCTCGAAGTAATAACCTGTCTGTTAGAAACAATTTTTAAAATGGTGTTCAACTGTAATCTATATTTATTTTGTAATTTACATTTAAAATGAATTATTTATTTATTTTTAGTTTTTAACAAAAGACAGTTCTCATGTAAGTCCATAGTGTTTCTATCAGCTCAAATTTGAAAAATAGACGTCCAACCACGGACGTAACACGTTGACCTCTTACGTGACACCAACGTAACACTAGAACACGCCCCTTCAGTCATTGTTTCCGGTTGCTTCACTCGGTTGCATTTTTTAAATATCCAGGGGGACCTTTCAGGCAGCTCTAAAGGGAGTAGTTACTCTTTGACTAAAGCACTTCCAAATAATACAGACTGTGCGTCTATAACAACTCACTTGAAAAATGTTTAACAATGGTCTCGAAATGTCGCCATTTCATTATCTAACGTTGGTTTAATGCATGTATAAATCGTCGTTGTGCTTTCTCGCGCCCCCTACTGGTGCCCTTCCGATGGAAACCTCCAAAACATAAGAAATGGCCATCCAACAAATTACGCATGCGCAGTAGTCAGCGCTTTAAAACAAGTCTTGAGGAGGGAACGTGAAGACAGTGGCAGGTGGACTTGAATAATAGTCGATGTAAGCTGAAAACGTATAAAAGCGTGTTGGTAAAAAGCAGGTACGTGTGAATTATGAATATCACAATGCGTACGTTACAGCGGGCCCTCTGCGGGCGCGCGGTTTGTCCGTTTAACTAACCGGCTAGCGTTAGCCACCTAGCTAGCTGTTATTGTTTTTTCGTGATTCCGCGAGAACCAAAATGGAGGAGATGGCTGATGCCAGTGTCCTACACAGCCACTCCCGAGTCCTTGTTTGAAGCCTCCACATTGAAATGTCGACCCAGGTGCATTATCTATGGGTCAAATTCCCATCAAACGCACAAGTTTGTTACCAAATCAGCGTGTCTGTGTTTGCACTGCTGTGCTAGTATAGCTTAGCTTCAGTTTTCAAACCCGGCGAGCATTTTTTTTTTTGTAAAATGTGCCCCCAAATCATACACAGTTTAACCGTGTAGTCCTCTTTGTTTTGTCCAACCGTTACAAGTCCGTGTATGTTTTTTACCCCAAGCGCAAAGACTGTGTACTCTATGAAATAAACACACAGGAGGAGCCAGACGGATGAATTTGTCCTTTGTTTTTGCAGGACAGTAGCTTCGAGTTCACATGTGAAGTTGCTGCTGGTTGAATCTCAGGATGAAAAGTCGTCGTTGTGTTCGCCATGACTCTGAGGTCCACGCTGTATCCAAACACGCGATTCAGGCAGCACGCTGATGCTGGGGTCGTCACCATAAGCCCCGTGAGCCTCAAGAGGGAGTCCTGCGACTTTGTTATAGATGTTCAAGACGTGCAGAGGGGCGAGATCCCAATCAAATCAAAGGACTTAGACCAGAAGTACATGACAAGCAAGGTTGCCCTCGCTGCCACTGTTGCAGAGGTAGGAGACACTAAACCTGTGGGGATATTGTCCCCTGTCAGACCAATGGGGGGTGAGGGAACCCCGGTGAAAGGTAAACCCCTCTCTGTTGACAATATGGAAAACCCTCAGATGGCTGTGAACAATAACTCAAAGGATGCCGGTGCTGATGAAAGTGCGAAAGGGGTTGTACCTGGAGTGCTTGGCACCGCATCCATCGAACTCTCGTCTGAGGGTAAGTGGAGGAACATCAGGAAGACCCCTGCCAACCCTCACACTCAAGCCAACTGCCTCCGTCAGATTCTCCTCCTCCAGCTGGACCTCATTGAACAACAGCAACAACAGCTCCAGTCCAAGGACAAGGAGATAGATGAGCTCAAAGCAGACAAAGAGACGGTACGTTAAAGTCTTGGCCCGTCTTAATGTGTTTTCTGTCACTTTTTCCTTCTTTATGCCAGAAATGTTGCTTTTTTCCACACTCATGTCTTCCTTCTTTTGCAGCTGCTTGCACGTATTGAGCGAATGGAGCGCCGCCTTCAGCTCACAAGGAAGGACCCACCCCGTGATAAGCGCCTTTTCCAGCCCTTGGAGCCATGGACCCCTGACAAAGAGGACATGTGGGATCTGGAGCTCGAGAGTCCACAGCCTGACCCAGCCACGCCACTCATCTTCAGTCGGGGTGGCAAAGGTCATAAAAGGTACAATAAACGCCAGCAGAGGCAGCACAAGTGTTTGTTCCTGTTCCACATAACAAAGTGAAAAAATGTTCTGTATAATTTGGTCTATTCAGACTTTGTCCACGTTATTAAAGGAAAATGAGGAAATATTTTTCTGCATACGAAAGACCAAAAAGATTTTAACCGTCCTCTAAAGGGAAATTGCCATTATTTATTTCCTAAATGTCCAGAAATAATGGGGAATTGATACTGTTAGATAAGATGCCGCAGACTTGTTGCCTGCACTGTATGTAGACCACTTGCATTTCCAAATGCCAATTTCCATTTTATGTCTTTCATTTTTAGGAAATCTTGCTTTGGTGATACAAAAGTGCAAAAATCTCGAGGTAAAAGTGCCAAGTTGAGCCCGCAGAAGCCCGAAATTGAGCCTGGCTCTCCTAATCAGAGAGAGCTACGCAGCAAGGAAACCCCAGAGAAGACTGTTCCCGCGAGGGCAGAAAGGGATGGTTTGCTCCCTTGCAAAGAGGAGGCTGAACTGAGCTGCCAGATGGAGGATCTCCCCTTCATGTCAACGACAGAGATGTATCTGTGTTGCTGGAACCAACCTCCTCTGTCCCCCCTGCGTGAGACTTCCCCGAAAAAGGAGGAAGAGGTGGCCAGTGAGTGGACTCCTCATGTAGTACATGATATGCTGATTGTTTGTAAGCCTAACCTATATCCCACCTTCAATCACTTTATCCTTCAAAGTGTCCTGAACAAAATATCTATGAATAAACTCTTCTCCCTGCTTCTGTTCACCTCCTAGTCCCATCTTGGAGGGAAAATATAATAGAGCCGCTGAATGAAGACTCCTCCTTTAATCCCCCTGAGGTGAGAGACGCATCTGAAAAGAAACTTGTACCTACTGAAATGAACTCACATCAGATCCAAATGAGTTTTTAACTCACAATTCACTTCTGTTTCCCCTCAAGCCGCTAGACGACGGCGTGTTTTTGAAACGTCACTCAAAGCTCGAGTTGGATGAGAAGAGGAGGAAAAGGTACCGGTCGCTGACTTAAACTTGGTTTAAGCTTTTAACAAATACATTTCTTGAGTGTTGAGCGGTATGGGTGCTGGAGTAAACTGCAACAACCTGTATTGGATAAATTTTATCTAAATTTAGATTATTAAATAGTTTTGATGAGCATTTTCAGAGACTTGGTTTAAACTGAGCCCTGGGTTTAAAGATTAAAGACCAGAGTATCAATAAACATCAAGGTCTGTTCTGCTCTCATTGTTGAAGAATGCCAACGTATCCCCCACCCCATTTTAATGAATGAAAGCTGAAGGTGTGATATTATCAGCGATGTTGAGCTTTTAATGCTTATATAAATCAAATTAAATAATGACAATCTGCATACCAAAATAGTGATTTCTTTTATGTATTTATTTATTTTTGCCATAATTGAGCAGCCCCACTACCACCTGTCTCTCACTCTTTACTTTTCCTGTCATGTAAACGAATCCTGCGTGTTTCTAGATGGGATATCCAGCGAATCAGAGAGCAGCGCATGTTCCAGCGTCTGCAGCAGCGCATGAACAGGAAGAAAGTTGTCCAGGAGACCGAGCCGGAGTTGTCGTCCTTCTATCCCGACACCGAAGATGGTACATCTTCAGTATTAGAGTATTCTTAAATCAAATCAGGAGATTTTCAGTCTTAATTTTAATTCTTAATTCTCTTCCAGTTGAAAGTATAGTGATCACTCCATTCTTGCCTGTGGTTGCATTTGGTCGGCCTCTGCCTAAACTCTCACAACAGTAAGTTAGAAGTCTTTTGTTTTGGGCTTTTCCTTTATTAATATACAAACTGTTAATAATATTGGTGGATTCTCTTTAAATATGGCCAAAGCTTCCAATCATAAGCTCAGCATATGTACAAGTGCTCACTGTGAGGTTAAAGCTCAGGCACTACTTTGTTTCTGTGTCAGTAGGGCCATATATCCTTAATATGGTTGTGTGAGCACAGCAGCTCCACTCACCTGCTGTTCAACCTGCCTGTTTGGCTCACATGGTAACAGAAATTTGCCTCTAACTGAACAAACATCATAGCTAAAATCTTTGTGTAGTCTGAGTTTCATTTAAGACAAAACATGAAATGAAGTGAAGGCCATTTTCACAGTCCACCTCTTCCCCCGCTGTATTTCTTCTGTAATTTATTGCAGGCCTGTATTCATTTATAGTCGGGATAAAATGATTTAGATGGAACCTAATGCAGTCCATATTTTTTTGTCCTTGGACTATCACAATAGCTTTGATGATTAACAGTTACATATTCTTATTTATCTTATACTGGGCTTTGGTGCAGCCCATCAGTTTGAAACAAGCTCCCTTTGAGCCAGGGGTTAAATAATTATTATAAACAAAACAAACAAACTTTAAATAAATAAATTATATTTTAATAAAGCTTCTAAAGGACACCACTCACCCCACTCCAGTGAAAAATGAACAGACACCAGAGGGTTTAATATTATTATTCAGTAATGGTATGTTGATAAGGCCATTAAGCATCTGTTTTATGTGCAATTCACTCACATATCTCATCTTTTCAACATTTAGTCTCTAATAAATATTGTAGTTTTACCACTATATTGTCTGGCCTTCGTAAACAAAAGGCTTGAAGTTTTAGTATATGCTGATGCTTTTATAAGAACCTGAAGCTGTTTTTAATATCAGCATCTGTCATTGTAACTCTGTGTGTGTAGCATATATATGATATAAAATGAGAAAAAGCAGCAGGAGCATTCCAGTTATTTTCACTCGTCTTTACTCTTGAACTGAGGGTCGACTGTCTGTTTTCTCTCCAGGAACTTTGAGCTGCCTTGGCTGGATGACCGCAGCCGGTGCCGCATTGAGGTTCCCAAGAAACACACGCCTCACCGGACCTGCAGGAAGTGAAGCCCTTAAAAAAAACAGCAGCAGTGGTGGGAGAAGAAGATGATTATGATGATGCTCCACACCCAGATTAAAAAAACGAAACAGAAAAATTTGCCGGTGTGGCAGGGAAGTCGCATCACTAGTCGCTTTGTTTAACTGTCACTGTTGCTTTTGCTCTCCTGAGTTTTGGTAAAGGATGGACGATATCTGCAGGGCAGGGTGTCCTTGATGTTTTCGGTCTCTTAAAAGAGAGGCTGAGCCCTCCATGCCAGAAGATTACAGCCCCCAAGTCAGCAGCTGTTCATAATTACACATTTACCAGGAGTTACATGCATGTCCTGATACTTTTTTGGTAGATCTGCACCACAGACGTAAAAAAGACCCGTAGACTTAATCAAACAGATGTGGTGTTTCTGTCCTGTTATATGGGGTCGGTAGTATTAAGGGACAAGCTGAGGAGCTCTAATCTTTGTGCATACGTGTAGAGGGAACGATTTAAAGCCACTTTGACTGAAAATAGAGCTTCGCGAGCAATGCAGCTGCATCCTTTTCGCTTTGGGTCGTGTCACCGCGCCTGTTCTCCCCGCATCAATGTCGTGCTGTGTATTGCCTATATCGATTGCACACGACTGCATTAAGATTTTATCGATGTTAGGTGTGATTATTGGGAGTTTTGAGCCAGCATGATTTCATATATATGCATATATATATAAAATAATCGAGCCAATCCAGTGTAAAGTGAAAAATGTAAACAATCAGATGATTGGGTTTGAGAACAAAGGTACAGGAAATTATTCGGGTGGTAAACTTGGCGTCGAATTCAGTGACCTGTCCCCTTTTTTTGTTGTTGTTGGTTTTTTTTTTTTGTTTTTTTTGTTTTGTTTTGGTTTCTGTTAGTTCCTTTTTTATGTGAGATGCATGGACTCTCTTTAGCTGTTTCCAAATGATAAAAAATAAAAAGGTATTAGCATGGCTTTGCCCCAAAATGGAGAATAATCTCTGCTCATTGGGCTACAAAAATACTGTCTTGAAAGCATGACCTTTGGCCGCTCAGTTCGGCCGATCTGATAATAACAAAGTTTGATTTTTGATCTTGATTTTTCTCTTTTGTTTCCAATCAAAAAAAATAGCTTGTGTCCAGTAAATATACGATTTAGGTGTACGCATCAGACTCCTGACGTTCACGGGAGCCGTTTTAGAAAATGAAGCTTTCTAGCTGTAGTCTGTGCGCGCTCTTTAACACGCTGCCAGTTAATCTCTCCCTCTGCGAGTTCATCTCAGTCACAGTCGCAGTGTTTGGTTTCTGCAGGTTTTCCTCTTCGCTGTGTTCACTCAGCCTCTTCTACATTTGATGCAACAGCTTTCTGCAGCTTCAATACTTTCAGCTGCTCAGTGTGCACCTGCATATGCGGCACATTCTGGAAATACAAAGTCAGTTTTTGTTTTGTTTTGTTTTTCCTGTTGTTTTTCTGTACATAGCTTTCAGAAACAAATGTACATAAAACATCGCTGTTATTTTTTTATTATTTAATGTTGGAAGTGTTGAGTACATCAATATCGTTCTATGATTGTAAGTTGACAAATTGACAGTTTTGAAAGTAAAACTTTTTTTGGAATAAAATGAATATGTCTATCATATGTGGATGTGGTTATTTGATAGGGATGAAGTGGGTACAAATGTACACTAGCAGGTTGTTTATGAAAAATACATAAAGCTATTTTTTTCCATACATAGCACAAACACTTTAGATTTAACTGTGTACAACTTCAGCCTCATCTCCTTTATCTGTGCCTGTGATCCTGATGACTGTGGAGTAGACAGGAGGTATAACTGAAAATTTCCAGGTGTTAACAGGTCATTAACAAGCTCCTCCCATGTAGTTTTGGGCTGTTCGTTCTCATGATCATCCCACCCCTGGCTGGTCCTTTTACTGCACCAGCAGTGTGTTTGGGATCATTGTCATCCTTACAAACGAAGTTGTTCTAGATGATATTGCATGGATCAAAAAATGACCGTACTTTTCTTAATTCCATCAATTTTCACAAGATCTATAACGCCACTGTCTGAAATTCATCCCCAACTGTAGACTCACAGTTGTACCTCACTCTGGACTAAAACTTCAGATATTTAAAATCGCTCTGTTAGACGACCTGCTGATTTTGAGCCCAGTTCTTGTGTAATCTGCCTTTTCTCCCTTGGAGTAGATGGATCAACTGAAGGGTCAGATTCATCTCTCAGGTCCGGCATCAGGTGGATTTTTCCCTTTATCTGACAGATATTTTTAGGCCTTCCACTTCATCTTTTGTGCGCCACTTGTCCACTTTCCTCATTGTTCTTACAGACACGGTGCACACCATGCCCAGATATGCCAGGTTTTCAGCTGGTAGCTCTTTGGGAATCACCTTGTTGGTATAAAATTTTCTATCACTCAAACTGTTGTTTCTGGCACTTTGTAGATTCAACTAAAGAAATGGGACCAAAGTCTTTGATCTTATGACTGCTAGTAACAAAGTACCTAAATATACAACTTAAAACCGGTTCTTTGTTGTGTGTTTTGTGTAAACACTGAATCAGGAGACTTTTTTTTATGCTTGCATGGTTCATAGGTCAGTGTTAAGTGGGTGAACATAGGAAGAAACATTCCTCTGCAATTGATCAGGTACAAGGACCGGATGGAAAATGAGTGAAAAAGCAGCCAATGTCCAAAACTTTAAAAGACACCGAGAAAGGCCTGGAGAACTGGTGCTGAAGAACACCTTAAAAAAATACTGGCAACCACCAGTGCCGCCTCTCAATGTCCCAGCAGACACACTTATAGTATCAGTTTCAAAATCCTACATTGCCTTGTTCTCAGGTTATCACATTCACATGATTTTCAGAAAGCTTTTTCTGTCCTTGCCATCAAGCTCAGTGAGATTCGAACTTGTCCAAGATTTGTAGTAGATGCACCTGTGGTATCAATTTGAAAATCCTAAGTGACTTCCTTCTCGAGTTATCGCCTTCACAAATTAAGGTGACGCACATACCCCATCAGCCTTTTATGGCTGAGGAAAATATAAAGAAATGATGCGTGGCTCAAGACTACAGACTTCTTCTCAGTTCTCTAAACTAACTACACATATTCATAGAACCTTAGTAGCAGATATTGAAAGCCTATCTCAAGCAGTTTTTCAGAAAACTGAATAATTGAAATAAACAAATAAGAGCTGTGATTTAATTCACATTAAGAAGTTTATCTTTCCCCTGGAATTTTGTCTGAGATGTTCAGGTAGAATCTGCTAAAAAATAAAACTCTGATCACACAGCCAGTTATTTAAATCTGGAAAAAATGTTTATTGAATAGAGAAAAAAAAACAGGACAGTTTGTCAAAAATAAACACCACTGACTCTTTATTAACATTTTGGTGAAATAAATCTTAAGAGTGCCAAGTCAGCTGACCTCACCTTTCTTTCCAAATATAATCTGTAAAATCTGTGAATGCAGCTGCAAAAGATGCCGATATTTCAACTTCCTGCGCAGCATCTTCAGGTAAACCCTGACAAACCGCAGATTCCATCTACTAAACAATCAAAAAAAAAAAAAAGGCTACAAGTGTATTATTATGATGATTATGGTGATACAAACACCAAAACAGCCTCATGTACAAAAAAAAAAAAGAGAAAAACTTCACGTCACCCATATAAATTGTCGTTTTCTGTGATATTACCAGCTTTCGTTTGGATTTCCTTAAACATTTTTATAATTAGTGTTAATTTAATTTGTGAAAACGTCATGCCTGGAGGAGTTAGTATTTACAGACTGTGACATAAAGTCAGCTTGTGTCATTTGGCAAAGTCGTAAATGAGGCAACAATTTGCCAAACCTATGAAGGATAATGACCCTTTTGCATTTTTTTTTTTGGATAAAATACATATTACACATAATGAGAAAACACCTCAAACAGAAAGCCATACACCTTTGTCATACACCCCAGCTCTGCTGCAACAAACCAGCGTACCGCTGGCTCTACTTCCAATAGAATCTAGACACAGAGATTCGAGTATGTTTGTATTAAAGGCTTCGCCACAGCGCTCAATCTCTCCGAAGGTTATTCAGACGCTCCTCCAGGTCTGCGTCTGCGTCGGCCAGGGTCGCCTGAGGCTCCGCCTTCTTCCCTCCTGCCACCGACAGGCTTCCGCCAGTGCTCGGCAAGCCTGAAATAAAGACGGGGCGTTAAAACAAAATGTTGCAGCTATTTGTTCTTATTTTTTATTATTTTGAAATCAGTTAAAGTTTGTTGTTAGTTTACTTATATTTTGGGATTTATTTACAAGTTTATTTGTTGGTTAATATTTTGTTTCAATGTTTGTTTGATGTTACTTTGTTAAATTAGTCAGGAAGAGCTGTAGGGCCATTTTGTTTTCTATAAATAAAGAGACTGGTATAGGACCAGCATGCACTGGGGTGGGCCTATGGTTTTTTACCAGAGCAGGAGAAGCAGCAGGAAGTAACAAAAAAATGGATCTTGTTATTGCTTGCCAAACTGGATAAATAAACCATAAAAATGCAACTTTCAAGTTTGGACAGTGGACTTCTTTTGCCTGCGTACAAAATAGTATCTCAGTGCAGCAGTGGCTTGTGGACTTTTAATTGTGGGAAGTTTGGTTGGTCAAACAAAAGGAATTGCCACTACAGAAAATATCCAGAGAGTCAAAGAAAAAAACGTAAAAGGTTTTTTTTTCTTACTTGACAGTTCATCGGACAGGTTCAGACCCAGCTCGTCCAGCACTTGGGACACAATGGCGTCGCTGTGTAGGAAGCACAGAAATCATTTAAATGATTTTAAAGAAGACCGTTTAATAAATCATCTAATCAAATCAAAGGGTAGCTGGGCCACCACAAAGGGTATCTCACTACTGTCAATAAAAAACAAACAAACAAACAAAACTTTAAAAAAAAATACAATAAAAAAGTGTTCTAGATCTCAAACACACCAGATCTGTGATCACTTTTAGCTCATATTTGTCTTTTGTCCGTAAGTGTGTTCTGTTGTATATCTGTCAGCTTCGTTTCATGCTACCTGTCGGGGCGGGCACTACGGATGTAAATTAGCAGCTAAATTACTTATTGTAGCTTCATTTTTACACAGCTGCGAAAGATGCTGGGAAATATGATGAAATTAAAAGATGTAAAGGTTCTACTTCCACATAATTTATCTTATATTTTGATTTAAATGCTGTACTATACTGCTGCTGATATACTAGCACCCTTCTTTTAAACTGTCTATTCCAAATGATAGTTGTCCAATATTACACTTTTCTCATATTTTATTAGTTTTGTTTTTAATGTTTTAAAAATTTAAGAAAGATCACAACTACAGGAGCTTCCTGGCCTTGGAAATCCATTGTCAGGAAGCTCCCCGCCCACAGTTTATGTGCTGATGTTAATGCTAGAGGAAGTTTGGAGCTCTACAGTTATGAACTCAGCAGAACGTTGGCAACTTCTAGACCCGCTCTGTAGCTTCATTTTTTGGTTGAGTTGCTGTGGTTCCTAAACACATGACTTGGTGCCATGCTGGCATCCTATCACAGTACCACGCTGGAAATCATTGAGCTCTTTCTTTCACAAATATTTGTAAAAATAAATCACAGGCCTGGGTGATTGATTTATACACCTGTGGCATTGAGACTGAAAACACCTGAGATCCAAGATTAAGAGACTGAACAGCTCAGTACTTTGGTCTGATCATGTTCCGATGCTCTGAGAATCCCTCACCTCTCCTCCTCATCATCCTCGTCTCCCATGGCGTCGTCGATGGCGTCGTTCATCATCTCTTCCTTCATGTCCATGATTTCACTCTGTCGCTCAAACTCCATCATGATCTTTTGGATCTGAGGCAGTTTCAGCTGTGGGGACGGGATGAATAAATGAGAGTCTGTCAGCACGTTGAGCACGGTACATTACTATTTTTTAAAAGCTGGATCACAGAATGTTTGCTGGGTATCAGACCTGTCTGTTCATGGTGGCCATGGCTTTGGTGACGCCTTTCATCGCCTGCGCCATACTGTTGTTGGACTTCAGTGTCTGTATCTTCAGGCTGACCGCCTGAATGTTGGCTTTCATCATGATGAACTTCTTAACGTAGCGCCTAGTGCGCACTAAGTCTTTGGCCATGATCTTGACGGCGTCCTGCAAAGACCGAAACAATAAAATCACTGTGAACATTCTTCCGGTACAAACGAAACTCTGCTCACAAGCCCCACGGCCTCACCATTTGTCCCTGTTTGGCCATTTTCTTTATGTCAGCGATGATCTTCTTCTCCTGCTGCTCCAGCTTCATTCGCTCCCGGTCCAGTTCTCGCATGGCTCGGTTGAGTGCCCGCTGATTCTGCCTCAGCATCTCCTCCGGAGTCTTCCTCCTTCCAAACAGGAAATCCATCTGGATGCAGATATAAGCAGAGGATCAAATTTGGTCAGACAAATATCAGTTATGGCTCCTTTTTTATTTGTATTTTTTATTCCTGCGGTCCTCAGGGATCAGTAGCCATATGATGTGGCGATTGAGTAAGAAACAACAGGAACCATTAAAAGTACCCTCTACCTTCAGTTATAAAGTGAGATTAATCTATCTATCTATAGGTTATCTAATACGCCAGTGCCTTTAAATCTTTTTTATCTGGTTCAAAGTGAACCATTATTCGATTAATCAATCAGTTGATCAACAGGTAACAGTCTGCCACAAAACAAAAAATGTCAAGGATTTCCCTTCTTCTCTGATGAGCTTCTCTGTCACACATGGAGTTAAAATAAATGCATGTGGGTCAAGGTAACAAAAACAGGTGACAAAAACAAAAGATTAATAAAAATTTAAAATTAGAATGGGGAAAAATAAAAGTAACTAAAATTTTGATAAACGCAGACTGAAATTACATGAAAATATGGACAATGGAGTCTGCAGCCTTAGTCTCGGTGAGCCTGGTGAGGCTTTGTTCCACATTTCCTGAGACCTGAGATGACCACATGACTATGAATCAGCTCCCTTCAAAAACTCCTGTGTTTATATTGTGATGTCACCAGTCCCCCCACCCCCAAGTAAATATATAAATAATTAAAATTAAAAATACTAAAACTTACACCAATACCAGTGGACATTAATGGTTATTTTAAGCCTGAAATATCAGACATCATAATCCTGACTCAAACCTGAGCCTGTGCTCACTCCATCGGCTTACAAACACATTATTAATTATTGAAATCGCTTTTCATCATTACTGTGTCAATAAATTGATAAATAAATGCCTGACATTTGGTCATTTGGTGGATGTGAGAATACGAGATAGGGGGTTTCTATTTGAACTTCTCTGCCTTCCTTACAAATAAAACCCCCACTCTAAACAAACTTACAGCGACATCTTCTACACATATAAACGTGTTTCTAAAGCCGTCTCAGGCTGTCACGAGCCCCTGTTTACTGGACGGTTACTCAGCAGTCAGTTATGTGACCAAAGGCCTGAAGTCTAAATCCAGCCTTGTTTAGCTCGGTTGTTCTCCCCCTCTGGCAGGGCGACAAAAACCAACAGGTAACCCCACCACAGCGTGAGGCCGGCGGTTAAATCTCACCGTGTGCGGCGGAGACGGGGGTCCAGACGGCGAATACGGCGCGAAGAGGCGTCAGCTCCGACTTCTGCTCGAAACAAATTTAAACGATTATTTGTTTTCTTTCCTACGCTTCCGTGTTGCTAGACTTTTACTTCCCGGAAATTACGCCATCGCGCACACCCAGGCAGACGTCAATTTTACCATGGCGTCACATTTGTCACGTGCCTACAGTCGACACCGAGGAAGACAGACAGGCATTTCAAAATAAAAGCTAGAGCTAGAGTGCTACAAAAGATAGCTAAAAAGATAGCTACAAGCTATTGTTATTTATTTAATTTATTTTTTTGCGTTTAACTTAATTCTTAACAAAGGAAGCTGTAACAAGCTGTAACAAAGGAATCTTACAGCTATACAGTGCTGTGAAAAAGCTATTGGCCCCACCCTAATTCTTTCTTTTTGATTTTTGTCTTTTTTAAAATATTTGTCACAGTTGGGAAGTTGGGAAATAAAACATATAGAAAAATATACTGATTAAAATTAAAGCAAAGCAAAACATGCAATAACGATAAAATTATACAAATAAAACCAAATAGATAATACAACAGAAAAGTAATTAAATAACAGGTTATCCATAGAAATAGGCGTTTAATGACCAGTACGAAAATGAAACTAAATATTACAACAGCAACAAAAGTACATGTCAGACTTGACCCCGTAAGAAAAATGTTATTTATGCGAAATGTATTATTTTAATTCCATACACTTCCAGCTTTGGGTGACGCCTGTCATCAGACTAGCAGTCTCAGGCTTTTATTTTGTAGGGTAAATGACTCCACGTCAGGTCATAATATCCGCTGCTTGCTGAGACTGGATTGCACATGTGCGTAAAGGCTACAAGCATGTCTGCTGAGATAGGAAGTTGGTTCTTTAACTCATCGCGACAGATTATCGGTGAAGGTCTCTGACACATCTGTGGATTGATGGACTTCTCGGGAAGCTGATTCGAGTTTCTCCAGTGCAGAGGCTGCCCCTTGTATAAATATGGCTGGATTTATTGCAAATCAGCACAGGTTGCTGCTTGTATTGAACAGAAGATTTCACGCACCTTTATCAGTCTCCCGGGTTGCCTTTTACCACGTAACAGCTTCACACCTGAGCCCAAAGGACAGCAAGGTCAGCCCTGTAGCGAGGGGGCGCTCCAGGGTCCAGTACAAGCCTGCAGAAGGGCAGGAGCATGAGGGGTCAACTCAGAGAAAAGTGTTTAAAAGTGAGATCTCACTGCTGCAGAAGCAGATGAGGGGAGATGACTTCAGAGTGTCACCTGAACTCAGGAAACTGTGCCTGGAAGATTTCCCTGCAGAGAGGGAGAGGCAGGTGAAGCAGAAACCTGCACCTGAAGCCAAATCTAAGGACTGCGAGGTTGTTTTTGGCGTTGCTCCCTGCTTCTTGGCTCTCACTCAGGGAAGGAGGAGGGTCCGTAAGCTGTTTGTAAAAGATGGCGAGGCCTCTCACAGGGCGTCTGTGTTGAAGGTGTGCGAGGAGGCTCATCTGCGAGGAGTTCAAGTCCATCGGGTCAGCAGGAAGGAGCTGGACAAGATGTCCAATGGGGGAGTCCATCAGGGAGTGTGCCTGCTTGCCAGTCCCCTGAGCTACCTCACCGAGGACTCTGCACCCAGCAGGAAAGATGCCCCACTGTGGCTCGTTCTGGAGAGAATCCACGACCCCATGAACCTCGGCGCCATCCTGCGCTCTGCTTATTTCCTCGGGGTGGACAGAGTCGCCAGCAGTCTTCGCTACACCTGCCCGCTGTCTCCAGTGGTCAGCAAGGCGAGCTCGGGCATTATGGAGGTGATGGGGGTGTATGGATATGAAAACCTTGCAGAGATGTTGAAGCTGAAGATGGAGCAGGGCTGGCAGGTGGTTGGCACAGTGGGACAGGAAGCAGAAGTGTCTCAGATGCCCATCACAAAGTGTTCAGACTTTAAAATGACCAAACCCACGTTGCTGCTGATGGGAGGAGAGGGAGAAGGAATCTCCAAGGAGCTGCTCTCCACATGTCAGACACTTCTCACCATCCCAGCGGGCAGGGAGCTGGTGCCTGGCATCGAGTCTCTCAACGTTTCTGTAGCCACAGGCATCCTGCTGCACTCTTTGCTGTCCTCCAGGAGCTCGACCACATGACAGCCACCTCAAATAGCCTCCCAAATGAAGATGCAAGGTCACTGACAACACAACCAACCACAGGAATAAATAGTTCAGTGTAATCTTGAGTACAAATTCATAGAAGACCAAACCAGAGCCCTCATACTCTTCTCTGCTGTTGTGTCTAAAAACTACTATTCCTGAAAAGGGGACTGAGTAGCATTTGCTGGAAACAAAAAACACAACCCACCTGTTTCAAGAAGTTACGTAGCCTTTAAAATAAATACACATTATTTATTTATTGTCTATTTTCGAGATTGATGTTGTCAGTGGAAACCAACAGGCTCTGAGCCGAGTCTTACAGATCTGCGTGATTGTTTCCTGGGATTTGTTGACTATATTTTCTCTGCTATCTGTTATTTGGCATTGATGTTATTTGATACTTGTTACTTGATATCAATGTTTTAAGTTATCTTACTGTGTAATTTGTATCTTTGTACAGCACTTTAGCCAACACTACTGTTGTAATTAAATGTGCTATATAAATAAACGAAACATAGGTAAACGTCCACATTTTCAAACCTTATCCATGTGTGTTTTGATTCAGTACCGGAGTACAGGAGTACGTCCTGGTCGCCCAGCATCAGGACTGTGTAGTGTCTATTATTTTTATGTCTTTTGCTCACATTTTAAGGTAGGTTTCTGTATAATCAAACATGGATTTGGGTACGCCAAAGTTTCAAGGTGCAAAATGTCCTCCACATGTCAGTTTGAGGAACTTTTGATTGCACAATTGAAGCATGAGGACCAAGCGTGACAGCTACACTTTTACTGTGTTTTGCTCCACACAAGGTTTCTTTTATCCCCCTCACAAATGTTGCTGTCGTCCTCACAGACCCTTGGTTGTGTGTTGATACAGTAAATCTAATTATGATTTTCTGCATTTGCAAAAAATTATTTGGTAACACAGTGTTTCTTGTTTAAGTTTTGGTCCTCCTCCAGAGGCCTGGATGTTTGAGGATTTGATGGTTCGGCTGCACCTTCCTGAACAGAGACCTCTGATGTTGTTCCCAGAGACGGCTGGAGCCATGATTCCAGCTCCTGTTACCAGTGGGACGCTTTGATTTTACCTTCCAGTTGTTCCTTGAGCCACTGGGAATTCTTGATTATCTCATATCCCTTCTATCTAATGCTACTGTCAGCTGCTATTGCCAAATCTATCACAGCTGCTGTCTTCTGCTCTTTTGCAATCACCGCTATCTCTGATTGGTTGGCCAGCAGCTGCTTGTGTATCCCACAAGATTCTCATCCACCTCAGAGGTGTCTCCAATCACAACAGATAGGTTCCAACCCCTACCCGCTACTTCAGTCAACTGATTTTCTCTTAATTTTCTCTTTATCTGCTGTCTTTTGTCTTCGCCTTACACGTTATTTATTGTACACATGTTGACCCTTGACCAAAGAAAATAAACACCTATGGAATTAAGTGACACCATAATGACTCGTGTGCATTTACTGCCCCAGTACACCATGACAATGAGTAGACATGCACAGTAGGAGGACCTCGCCTAAGTGGAATGCAGCCCTGATTAATAAACCAGTGCTTTTCCTGCTGAGACATGCCGACTGTCCGCTGAGGAAAGAAGACTGCGGTTATGCTTCACATCAAACACTACGTGTCCAAAGGTTTGTGAACATGTGATCACAGCAGCGGGGAATTTATCAGTCACAAGACCATCAGTGACGTGCAGCACTGATACTGGCTGATAAGGTGTCGATCACATCTGCTGCTTTAGTTTATCTTGGAGGCATGAATGAGGGTGACGTCAGGGCTCCATGCAAGCTTGTCAGGTTCTTCCTCACCAAACTTGTATTTTATTTTAGTTTTTACCTTGCCTTGCTTGGCATCATTCTTTTCAGCACAACCTCACGTGTCTGAATTTACAGTTATTTTTTCATTAACATACTGTATTAACACAACTGATCTGAAATCACACAAAAAACATAAAATCCTAGTAGTACTTTTATTTTTTTTACTGTAAAAACCACAAACATGTTTAGTAAATTATTTTCACAACTTCAAATGCAAATATAAATTGTACATTCTGAAAACTTATGCATACATTTTGTAAACAATAAAGTTATATACAACTATTTATCTAAAAATGCAGCCAACACATCTGGTGTTTGTTTTTTAAAATTTTGTACAGCCATTTAAAAATACCACTATAACTAAAACGAGAAAACAATCAGGTGTTATAATAAAATGTCCCACAAATTAGTTTTGCCAGTACAAAGACAGAGGAGAAAACCACAGGGATAAACCGTGCAGGCCTGAAAACTGGAGATCTTTCACTTCTCTGGTTTTCCACCTGGAGACAGTTTACATTGCACACTAACTATACCCTAATTCTAATATCTAAAAAAAAAAAAAATCTTACCCCCCCCCAAATAAAAAAATAAAATTCATAGGCGACACCCGCCATCACACCCAAAACCTCCCCTTCTTCCTAAGCATACGAAACCCACGTGTTGCCGTTTCCACCAATAGCAAAGAGGTGGCTATTTTTCCTTATTTACTGTTTTCGCGCTGTCCTTAGAAGACGCTTTTTTTCTCTTTATTTGCAAAAATGTTATGTTGTAGACATTGAAAGAAATATTATATATTATAATTTGGCTCTTTAAAAATATTCTGGGTGTGGAGCTTCTTTATGAAAACTAAAAACCTGACAGGACATCTCGGTCTCCATAGGGTGGCAGTAGCGGAGTAGCAGTACCAGCGGAGGTACCAATCAGCCTGCCTGATGACTGAGGAAGAAGAGCGGAGCACACAATGCACTGCACGGTTGACAAGGGTTGTGTCTCCCTGGTTTTCGCGATAAATCTCCAGTTCAGTACAAACTCTCGAAGAGGCAGCAGTGGAACCGACCTGTTTCTTTCTTTATAACCTACACACTGGATTTAGCGAGGGAAAAAAAGAATTCGGTGACCGGAAACGACGGCAATTGGTCAAGCTTCTCCTAAACATTGGATTACAGAGGCTGCATGAAGGAGCTGCCCAGCCCAACGGGGCTCGGCCGACACCCTCGTTTATGGAAATCGACCCCGAGGCTTTGATGCTTGGGCCTCGGTTTTTTCCTTTATGATGGGGGTGGAACGACTCAACAGTTTTATGTGAAGGAGAGGGATATTATTTCGTGGATGATTCGTAGAATAAAAACCCGCTTCCGTATTCTTCCTGCTTCCTCTTAAAAAAAATTAGAGATAGTTGGTTGTTGCTAACAGCTGGATTGGCTAACGCTGACTAGCATCCATGCTAATGTTACGTCTTTCTTTTGATGCGACTCAGCTACCACTATCGGCCATCAACAACCCGACAGGAGAAGATTTTGCCCTCTTGGCTGCTGATTATTAGTTATATTCACACTCCACAGCCCGGCTCATCAGTGTTTACAGAAACGTTTTAAGAATAAAGTTGTATTCTTAGTTTGTCGGGCTTATATTATTATAAATTGAATTAGCCGCGTATAGGCTAACTGACGTTCGCTAACAGCAGCCATTTACTATTTAAAGTAAAGCAGACAGCTCTTTTTATTCCCCGTAAGGCGTAAATTAGAGTAACTGTCAGTATTAAGACGTTCAGTTTCACAGTAATATGCAACGTCTCGTAATAGTCGTTATCAGGCCTGGCTAACTAGCTAATAAATTTGCTACTAATTTTGTCAGCGTGTGCAGAAATTAAGGAAATCACAAACAGTTTGTTGATTTAATCTGTGCCGAAAACAGCATTATTTTCAATCTGTTACTCCTGCGGAGGCAATCTCGCCCTGCTTTGGGTGTAACACAGCCAGACTTGTGTTTTATTGTTTACATGTTTACAACTTGTGTGGTTATCGCTTGGATTTCCTGCTAGCTAGCACGCTAGCTAACGTTAGCCGTCAACGAGACACAATCAGCGATGTCCTGACATTCGCGTTAATGTCGCCGATGTTTTGAATTCCCATGTGGATGTAAGTTTGTTTTCAGATTTCAGAAATGACACTAACATTTCGCCGAGAGAACGGCACTGATGCCAGCAGCATACTGCTGTCAGAGGACGGTAAATAATAGCCACTGGTTTCCATTAACGCCATTTTAACAGAGGTTCTCGGAGAGGGCCTGTGTGGTGGTGTTTTTATTCGCGGTTCGGTACCTTCAACCGGGCCGGGACTTGCGTAAAAAAGTGCCTTTGGGAATCTCACCTAAGTTGCGAAAAGGAGGTGGCATTTGAACATGGAGGGCCCGAGCCGAAACACCGGATTCAGGCAGAGCCGGCGATCCCGTTCCCAGCGCGACAGGGAGCGGCGGAGGAGGCGAGTGGATCTGGCCGAGGAGCGGGCCACATCCCTGTCCTCGGGCTCCGATCGGGAGGCATGTGGGACCAACAGCGTGCTGGGTCCCGGTGGGAGAGAGTGCCGACCAGGGTTTGGCAGACACAGGCCTCCACGCCGGAGGAAGAGGGAGTCTGTGTCCTGCGAGGAAGAAATCATTGATGGCTTCGCTATTGCGAGCTTCATCAGCTTGGAGGCTCTGGAGGTGATTGTCATAATTTGGTGTTTTTTACACCCCACTATTAGCTGTCATTCATGTGTACTTTCAGCGTTAGTGTTCGGTGGGGATTTGGCACCCTCCTTTCCTCTAATTTATTAAATAATCACCATCCTCGTAGGTGGTTGCTTTAATTCTCATCTTTGTAAATTAAATCATCCAAGGGTGTGAAGGGCTGCAGATTGAGCCCCTAAAGCGTGACAGCAATCCACTCCCCAATCCTCTGATGGCTCCTGGAGAGGCCTCAATTATTCATGATCTAATTTTTAGAGGTGTTGATGAGCTGTGAAGTGGCCTTTGTAGATAAAGCAAGAACAAGAAATACATTAAGAAAAGATCGTTTAACTATTTTCTGAGTTTGCGCTGTCACAAAGCTTTTCTTCAGACACTCAAGATTTAAAGTCAGGACGTATATCGATGTCAGTACCTCATATTGAATCCAGTTTTGATTCTAAAGGTGTTAAATAAACCAGTAAATGCAGATAATACTGACTCTCTGGCCCCAAGTCACCCCAAAATGCCCATTTTGAGAAGAACAGTCCCTGATATGTATTTGATGGGTTTTCTGGCTCAAAATTAGGCCTTTGATGGGTGACTACACGCATAAGCATGGCTGATTCCCATATAGTCATAAAAAGTGTATGTGTTTCCTGATTTTTCCCTATGTGATAAAAAGCATGTGCCAAAGGTAGATCAAGTTAAACCCAACTTACAAAAAAACTGTACTGCTTTGGCCCTTTGGTGGAAGACCAATTTTTTGTATGTAGCAAAAAAAGTACATTTTACGTTTAATTATTTACAAGATGTTGGCATGTGGTAATTTGTGGATAATCTTTGATAGTAGTTTAATCTGCCTTTGTGCTGATGTCATTTGCGTGCGTCTTACATCTGCATCAGTTTGAGGAAGCAAATTATTTGCCAATAGGTCCCGCAGTAAAACTGCCCATTCACACACATACAGCTGCGCTGTTCTTCTAGGTAACTTCATTTTACAGTCAAATGGACCCATGAAGTATCTGAAACTGCTAACAGAGAAAAAGGAAAGAGACCTGCCAAAAAATTTACTGCTCTATACCAATGAAACGTCGTAAGTCCCTTTTGTTAAAAAAAAAGAAAAAAAGAAACCATATCCTGTCTGTAGTTTTTCTGTAAAACATTTTTAAAAAGGGACTTTTCCAAATTAGACAAACAGACTGTGTTAGTTTGCATGAATTTACCTGCAATTCATGCTGAGTTTATTTGCCTTTTTAAGTGTAATCGAAGTAGTTTTGCTCAAAATCACCCCATGGAAGTGACTAATAACGATTGGTCTGTAGTTAAGGCACACAGTTTGTGTAACTTTACTAATCAACTAACTAATATGTTAGTTTTCCTTTTAATTTTGGCCATTGAAAACACAAATATATTTAAACTTGAATAAAAGTTGGGCCTAATATAAAATAAAACTCATTAATGTTTTAAATGTGGGACATACAGGCCGGAAGCCAACCAAAAGGTTAAAAAAAACAACAAAAAACTAGCAATTTTTAGATCTCAGGTATAAGGAAATGTATATTTAATGTGGCTCTTTTGGGTGAAGGAAAATCAGCATAAACGAAACTTTTATAAGTGGGTTCAATTTACTCCAGTTTAAAATGCATTTTTATTTTTCAAATAGCTGAAAATCACATACTGCATAGCTTTTGCGGTAAGCGTAGGTGAACCAGTCATGCTTATTTTTGCAGTCACTCCTGAAAGACGAGAAATATCCTGCATATGCGTGTCATATCAGAGTCGTGCCTTCTGAAAAACGTGCCTTTGGTGGTGACTAACAGTGATCGGTCCGGATGTAGTTAAGGCAAAGAGTCTGTGGGACCATACTTAACAGAAGTCTGCAGATTTTCCTGTATTTTAGGACTAACTGTAAATGGTTATTTCTGTCAAATAAGATTTAAAAAAAAAAAATGTCAACTTAAAGCAAAATCAACATCAACTTTCAATGTAATTTGATTAATTTGCTCCATTGAACCTTTTCACCATTACTCTTTTTGACCTTTATATTGTTTGTGACATTCCAGCAACTGGTTAAATTTATCAGCAGTTTTCTGAAAGAGTCATTTTTCCCTGTTTAAATAATTTTGTTGTTGTAATTTGTCGTTGCCTTGAGGGCTGAAACTTTCCAGCAGTTCGTCAAAGAAAGGCGACAAGGCTGAATAACGATTGTTTGTAGCGGAGATGCGTTACTCGTCTCACCGCTCCGCTGATTTTTCTTCTCACTGCTGGGGGTATATAAGTAGGGAAGATAAATGGCCAGAAAAATGAGAAACCATGTAAACTCCTTACTGTAGATTTTTCTCAGAAAGGTATTGATTAAACTCTTGAGTAATTGTTTAGATTGTAATTTGTTATATCAGTTTTATTTTTCCTCTATAGAGAAATTTTGATTGCTCTTAAAGACACGTTAAGTTCTTTTAACCAGTTTAACAATCAGTTTCTTTTTCTCAAGCAATTTGGACGTTTTTCTTCATTAAATCGTCCAAATATTTCAGTCAAATAAGGTTGTTACCTGTAGTTATTCCTCAAAGACTTATTGTGAGCCAAGAAAAATCTCATACATATTTATTTATTGCATATTAAAGTTTTTATTGGCTTAAAATGTGCTGTTGGGGGGGTGACTGCATACCTAAATATGATTGGGTCGCATGTAATAAAGAGGGAAAAAGTATTACCTTATATTCTTTGGTAAAAACTCTGTATGAGTGAGCTGGACACCACAGGTAAAAGACGCCCTTTGAAAGGGAGGTCATGTACAATGCTTCAGTTAAATATATTGTCAAAACAAGCAATATAATTGAGTCCACACACAAACAGCTCCAGTAATATCCTCATGCTGGCTCATCTTTTTTTATTTTATTTTTATAGACAGCAAAAATTAGGACTAATAAGCCTGTAGCTTGCCTTTGGGTCTTTGGCCTCAGGCTTACACATTAATGCTTATTTATCCACATTTAAATCCACATTTTTTTTCTCCTCCTTATCAGATGGACTGTTCTTTGAAGCCCAGTCAGCGAACTGATATGCTGGGAAGGAGGAACAAGGGGAAGAGAGGGCCGGAGGAGAACGGCGGAGGGCCGCTGTCAGAGCCGGAGGAAGGAGCCCCGCCCAGCAGCTATTGGAATAATAGTAGAAATAAGAGAAGAAAGATAGAGGTGAAACTGACTTTACTACCATGTTAGATGTCACTGAGACAATTCCTAATCAAACACACCATGTTTATACTTCTGTAGCGGTAATCACCTGTATATCCTGCTATTGAGAAAATGACCTTGTAAAACAGGTTCACATTCACGCTCTTGCACGAATTTTGACAACACCCATCGTCCAGGCAGTCCAGAGTGATTAATCACATCCATGAAAGGTTTAGAGCTAACTGAAACTCACTGAAGCTTATTTTATTCCTTTTTTTCACCCCCCAGGGGCAACCTTTGGAGACTGGCTATATTGTAAGTTTCTTTTCTGCTAATGTCCAGTGTTTCCCACACAGACTTTATTTGGGCATGCCTCATTTACTAGACATGAAGGGCTACACAGTATAGCCTGCCATTACTTAAATTGCACACTTTTTATTTCTTAGTGTATTAACAGTGTCATAATCATAACATTTGTTTAAATAATCCGACATAACAATCTTTCTCTACTCTGTCCATGAGTGCACTGCTGTAAAGGAAAAGGCTGCGCTTTATTTAGAACACAGAACATATTAAATGTTATGAAAATATCCATTTTATCATTCGTGACAAACATTATCTGTATGTCATAGACTTAAAAATCATGTGGTCCACTTGGTAATAAGGAGACAAAATTTAATATTTCTGAAACTATTACAATAATACTTGATGGAAGAAATAGTGAAGTAAAAAATTTAAATGGAAAAAGCAAAGAAAAAAAAAGAAAGTTGGAATCCATGTATTTCTGCTTGCATGCACACAGGCATACGTGGATGTGCAGACTGTGTCCACTGATGTGTTGCAAAGCATGCCCAGCAGGTTTTAGTTTCCATTAGATTGATCTAATCTCTTCCTGTTAAGATCAGTCTAAATAGTTGAGCTTGTTAAAACTCAAACTTGAGATATAACTGGAGGCATTTCCCCTGGAAAAAAAAGGGTTTAGATTTATTGATCTACTAAAGTAGATATAAATCCCTTCTGGGTTGCATTGGGAAGGCCATTCAGTGTTAAAAACATGCAGAGCTACCTGCTCGGGGGGGTCCCTTGTGAATAGGGGAGCATCCAAAAATAGACTTGGGCTGAGAGAATGGGATGATTGATTTACATGAGGACAATCCTGCTTGCTCTCATTTTAATCCCTCTGATGTCTAAATCATCATCTGTGACAGCCCCAACTCTAGCTCCTGTCCCTGTATTACGAGAAAGACAGAAGTTTGTTTTCTTTGGACACCTGTTATAATGTGACACTATAACAGAAGTACAACAGGCAGAGCTGAAGATGCTAAGAGTGACCAGGATGGACAGGATTAGAAACGAGTATTTCCGAGGGACAGTTTAGGTTGAGCAGTTTGGAAACCAAAGTTAGAGAGGTGAAGCTGAGGTGGTTTGGACATGTGCAGAGGAGGGATAGTGGATATACTAGGCAGGAGGAAAAGAGGAAGAGCATGTAAAGGAGGGGACACACACACACAGAGGGTTGGTGTGACAGGAGGATTCAAGGGGTGGATGGAGGCAGATAATCTGCTGTGGCAACCCTTAAAAGCAGCAGCCAAAATAAGAAGAATTGTCATTTAGAATGATTAGTGTCTTTATCCTGAGATAACAAGACTTTGGAGTTTGGCTTGAAAGTGAAGCTGGAGTCCATCTGTGGGACGAGAGGCAGTTTATTATCATAACTTGTACATAATCTAATTTAAGAAAATGTGTGCCCCACAGATATAGTTTA